ATGCCGTAAGTGGAGTGTGTTTTCCCTCAGGGAATTGAATTGAATTGAATTATGCCTTATTTTACGTGGCGAGACTCTGGCTATGAGGTCAGCTCTTCCGTCTGACCACGCAAATTTCGCTACGCTCCGTTCATCAACTACCGGAGAAAGGAGGTATCTTGGGCGAGAAACAGGCGACTTGAATTTAGCTCAGAGGCGTCATTTAGGCTTGAGGATCTTTTACATGCAAGTAAATCTACGAACATGGGACAGCCGGCTTTACTTCCCCTCCGAAGGAAGACGTATGAAGGATTTTTTCGCCCTTAAAAATGGCTTAAATTAAATGGCTTTGATCGTCTCCCGCTGGATAGTGAGATCCGACGCCGACACGTCTGTCGGGTAGAGGGGTTTTCCCCAACCAAAAATCTTCCATCAGCGGAGCACCGCCCCAACCGGACTAAGCTCCCGACCGGTCATCCAGCATGTGTGTTAGTGTGGTGCAAATAAGTGTAAGTGTGTGTGAGGATAGGACAAAGAAGGGAAATATCGCGCGCGGTCCGCCGCCTCTTCGTTAGTGTACAGCTTCTACATTCGCCTAGTACTGATCGGAGAAACAACGTACAACTATTGACCAGAGCAGCCGGCCGCTAGATTTCTCCTCCAGACAGCGACGGGATTCGACCTAGCAATGTAGTGTCAAAAAATCCTGTCATTGTCGGGACTCCGGTCAGAGGTACTGCAGAAGCATCAGTTGATGCTCTAATTGCACCTGTCCTGCTTCTACCTTTTTAACACCTTCATTTTTACTTTTTCGCCCTTAAGAAGGAACTTCGTAAGAAGAGAATGTTATGTAAAGCAGCTTGAAAAACTGGGGAATTTGCGGCAGAAAAAATCTTATTGCAGGACCTTGGTAATGAAAAAGTGGATAAATCTAGTTGCTAAATTTAGAAAAAAGTCCTCCAACGCGTAGTGTAGCCAGAATCCTGGTTTATAGGTCTTTCATACAGAAAAGCCGATTGACGACAAAACATATCTATCCCTCTGCGAACAACGTTAACGGTTAAACCGTTCAGACTATTATCTCCAAAATTGATATTCTCCGATCTATCTGGCTGGTGTCGCAGCCTTTTAATTTGAAACCAATATTTTAATTTTGGAGGATACTTTACATAGAGGCATTACTTTACATTTGCAAAATGTTCAACAAAAAAAAGCCCCATCGATTTTGATTAAATTTTGTTGTTGGGTAGACTGAGAGAATGGTGCAGTTCTCATGTTAGTTAAAAACTCTCATTTTTCGATAATTCAAAGAATACAAATTTTGTTCGACCTTTTTCCTACAAAAGAAAGATAGGGGTTTTTCCGTTAATGAAATCTGTTTCTTAAAGATACAATTTTTCTTTATTATTCTGTCCTTGAAATCCTATATTACGTTTAATTTCTTTGATTTAAGCTATTTCTATGAAGAGTTTTGTGGAACAAGTTGAATATTTCTTTTATTAATCTTTGAACATGCGCTCGTTTTTCGTTGTCCATAGAATACTACTATTACCTTACTCTCACCCTTTTTACTACTTCTCAGTTTTCATGTTACTAATAATTTGGAACCAAGAATTCTTATCGTTGTTTCTGTATTATTTAAGCTACCTGCGTATCTGTAAATGCCTTTTTTATGAAATGCAAATCTTTTATCTTTTATTATGAATACTATCATCAACTTGACGAAGAATTATTCTACACTTTATTGCTTCAAATACAGAAATTCTGATCTATTATCTGTGTATCTGTTTTTTTACACCAAGAAACAAATGAGAAACATTACCTCTGTTAAAAGTCTTGTTATTTCTATACGTATTCTGCCAACTCAAAGACAAGGACATGACTGAAAAAAAGAACCAAAATTAAAATTATGTATTAAATAATTTCAGTGTCGGTTATATATGAAGACATTGTACACATAGAATTTGAAATTTACATTTGCTTAAATAACAGTGTCGATGATCTTCACTTATAAGGATAAAGAACTTTGTTAGCGTCTTAAATGTATTGGACGCATCTGTAATAGGACGCAACAATCGAAGGTTCTTCCACAAGACTTCCCTCGTTATTCTGAGCTGACTTTCTAGGTTGGAATTGCCTTGATGTTTCCCCAAGTCAGCGTTTGTTTTCTTCATAAAACTCTGCAAAGAAAAGCATTTCTTAACCCTGTGTGACGGTGTGACGCGACGCGAAGTGGCGTGACTAGCCGGGAAAAGCCGCTTCGTTTCTTCTTTCTTCACGTGCTCGCATCTGCAACACGCATATTACTGTTGATCCTAATAGACTGTTAATAATCCGTATAGTACTACGTACTTGCTGCAATTTATGTATGATATTACATGAACTATCTCTGTGATAACTATTATATTGCATTGTATCCAGATATTGTGCTGACATTTAACACAATAAAATGGAGCTGTTATATAACAACCTTAAATTACCAAAAGATAATGATTTAATTATCAAGTAAACGTATGCAGTACTATTTTTCACAAATTTCTCTTGCAAAAAGCAATTATCTAAGCAAATAAATGATTCGAAGTGAAAGTAATTCAATGTTCATTTGAGTAAAGTGAGAAAAAGTTGTAAGTTTTACGTTCAGGTTCTAGTGTAATGTATCTTATATTAGTACATTATAACACTTGAAATATCGTTGTACATGATTTTGGACATTTTGGAAAATAAATACTGTAAGTATAATTCGGGAGAGAACCAGAAACAGAAACGTTTAAAGAGAAAACTATCTAGAAAATGTTTTGACCTCCCAAACGTAGATTGGACACGATTAGCATTTTCGTATAATGTGATCGACTCCTGAAATGAAATAACCATAATAACAACAAAAATAATAATAAATATTATAAATCTGCTCTTTGAAAATTACACACTGAATGATTGTATACGACTGCTGAGGATTATAGGCCAAGAAAGAATAAAAAAAATTAAAAATAGAAGCAGAAATGACGCATCTTAGTTTATAACACGGTTGATGCAAATGCGGAAAAGAGTAATGGGAAGACGTAGAGTAGGCTTGAATTGCGAACTACACAATAGAATACGTATCACACCAGGTAGGTGCCGTTGGAAGTTTCAGAGCGCGCGATCCGGAATCCAATCGCTCCCGACCAAGGGCGAGTGAATGTGCGAGCGACCTTCCTTGCGGCTACCGTGCACCTTGAACGACGTCAAGCTGGTTTCTGCTCCACGCGAATTCCTGAGTAGCACGGCATAACTGGAAAAAAAACTTAACACAATTCAAACTCCCAGGTCTACCACCAGGAGCCCACCTTCACCAATTTTTTTTAATATTTACTCGTCACGCACATCGAATACAAACCAGACTCAAATAGAAGTTTACAGAAGACTAAAACCTACAAATCCAGCAAATCAATTGAAACCATTGGTGAAAAAATACAGCATATAGAGAGAATAGGTTGGAAATTTGTAAAATTAAATTAAGGCCTGCAAAATGCACTGCCAAAATATTCTTGCTAAAGCACTTCTATAATCCTTCCCCCATTTGTAATCAACAACAATAAAATGCCACGGACTCGTCTCCTTCAAATAGTTAATTACCTTAGACTGAATTTACTAAACTAAATATTCTAAACTGAAATAGTATTCACATACTACAAACATAAACAACGAGCAAACTGTATCACATCACAATTAATGAATCACGTCACTTATCACTAACTAAATCCTGCCAGTCGATAGACATCCCACTATTTTAATTCATAATTAGATCTTCAATGTTACAGGCGTGCCCCGTTTGGACCAATGCATTAGCTATAACTATAAATAAACCCCTTGTAGTAATAGTTTTAAAATTATGAAATAATTCGTTTGTAAGCCAACTAATGCACATGAAAAAGTGTAACTGAACCAAATTTTACCGAAAGGAAAATAAATACGAATAAAAAAGAAAGAGGCTTCTCTCGTTTAGTTACGGTCATGGCGGTATTTCTCAAAGTCTTATTTACATCACATTCACCCCGCATTTACGATGTGATGGTTGTACGGGAAACCAAACGAAATCATACACGATGATGACTTACTGACATTTTTATAGTATCCATTTTCCGATCCAACTTGAAATTAGATCAATAAACAATTTTGTAATATTATATTTATGAAAACTGTTCAGTAGAGGTCACCATATGAGCCGTTCAGAAAATATATTCAAAACATTCAGATCTTTTACTCCCTCCCAGTTTTGCAACAACTTGAAACACAAATAATATCCCCTGAAACTACATTTCGCACTCTTTCGTCCCTGCCTGCGTTAAAGTAAGTTAAATTGTGATATATTTGAAGCATGCATTTCAATATTGTTTTCTAATTTTAGCATAATATATATTTTTGATCATTATATCATTAATGTATGGTTTGAAGTGAAAAATTAATACAGAAATTCGGTGAGAACGTTCATATTTCATCGACCTCCATCTCTCGTCTGCTTTTGTGAGAGTTGCGGATCCTCTTCCCCTACAAGTGAACATAGTTTTGTACGGCCCCTGTCAGAATACACTCGTACAAGCATATTCGAATAAATACATTGTGAAAGTGTTTGTAAACAGATTCTCAAAATAATATAGAAACTCAGAATTGATATACCATATAGGACAATATTAATATATTTTCAAATTCCTTTTTTATGAAACTGTCAGAGCTCAGGTATAACTAATTTTTATAACAAATATTTTACTTTTCCGCCAAGAAAACCATTAAAATAAACTAAAATGATTTTTATAATGGTTTCAGGTCACATTTAATATTTATTAAATTTTTCTGGAAGTACTAGTAGATTGTTACAGTTAGTGTTTGTGGTAATTCTCCACTTAGGATAAAATAAATGGCATGCGTTTACTAATAAATCTATTCTGAAAAATTCAAAGTATGCTTAAGACAAGCTTTAGCATTCTCATTCGCCAGACCATCAATATTTAAAGACGTTTACGTTCCTTCTTTAAATGATAGTATCATAGTAGAGAGGGGAAATATTTGAAACAATTTATTTCATTAAAGCTATGACTGATAATGAAGTAAATTGCATTTGTGTTTCCTTCAGGGAATAATTTTAATTTACTGCATTTAATCAAATCTTGCAGAATGGTAGAGTAAGTCAACAAAATGCTACAATTACTCCCTTAATATAATAATTACAACAAATCCTTCAAATGTATATTGAAACAGTCAATGAAATCAAATTGAACACTACAAACTCCCTCTTCTCTAACAAGTTGTCTGAAGACCTTTAAAGTTGTGACTTCCTTCGAATGTTCTTTCAATATTATCGGAGTCGGGTACACGATTAAAAGAACGTTAAAAACACATTCCATTTACTGTAAAGTTTATATTGTGATCTTTAGTATTATTGAAATTCATTCCATAAATGCCTTTACATATTTTTGTTCAACAGAAGCATGTATCATCAGAACAGGACCCATGCTAATGAATATTTCGAAGATAAGATCCCGTTTCTTTAATTGTGCTATGAGAATTTCAATAATCACCGACATAGTACTGCGTCTTTTGTTTAAAAACGTTATTAGTTTAAAAAATGATTCTCTAAAACCCGAAAAGACAGCTTATGTTTAATGAGCATATTACGAGTACGTTCCAAAAGCAAGTATCCGTTCAAAGACTCAGAACTTAATATACTACACCAGGCAAAATTTAGAGTTTACTTGCTCTATGTAACCTGCAGGGACAGCGATGAAACAGCGAAAACAATATTGTAACAGATCTTACATTCTTAGTCCATATGATAAATTTTGAGCAGCAACAAAACTAATTTCGTCTCAAAATTAAGACAGACCTCTGTGATAGAGGGGTTTTGAGCCAATTCCAAGGTTGTGGAGACAAACATTTGAGGTCCGGCGTATGGCATGGGTTTTTTCACCGCACACTTACGACATGGTTGGCTCCTAACCACATCGTATCTGAACCACTACTCCATGCTTTATCTTTAATCTCTCATCATATTTCACTTTTCATGATCACCTTACAATTCTTCATATTATGGAACAAGAAACGAAACCACTTGTACAGAAACATTCCGGGAATCGGATGCACAAACTTGTAATCCTCTTTCGCCTACGCTCAGAATTTGTTTTGATTTGATTTATTTTCGCCAAAAGCAGTAAAAACTGAATGTGTCGTATGTGGAAGACTAATCTGCGCACATTTTCTTGTATTCTAGAATCTCCACAGAAAAGAGCACGGAATTCGGACTCAGCCAAGAAACAAGACAATAATTGTACTAAATAAAAACCTATTTATTTACAAATAAATATACAAGGTGGCACGCGGCCGCTGGCCGAGTGGCGCGGCACGGCGCGGCGCGGCGCCCCGCTTCAGTCTTGGGGCGGTGCGGGCGAAAGCCCACTGGCAGTGGTGTGGGCGGGGCGGGGTCATTGCTCTTTGGCGCCGGAAGGTGTTGCGTGGAGGGAGAGGGAGGGGAGGGGAGGAGGGCGCTTAGACGTCCGTTGGCGCAGGCGTGGGCGCGGGTCTCTGCTGGATCTTGTCCTTGCCGCAGCGGCCCTTGGCGTGGAAGTCGAACCCTGCTGGACAACAACGAATCGGGGTTAGTGACCATTCGCTGAGGACTCGCAGCCACAAATCGAGATCGAAATGATTGTAAGTCAAGTTTTCGACTGAAGACTAATCAACCTTTCGGGTAAAATGAGTAACAACAAGAATACAGAAGAAAAAAAAAAGGCCATGAAACAGTCCTATTTTCACACTTTACATCCAACTAAATGCTTTAAGACCTGTTTCAAAATCATTCATTTTGAAATTAGAAGCTCATAATGCAAGATCATAATTATCAATATCAATTATTATTAGATACTATTAATACAAGATGATATTAGAATAGAACTGCCCAAGGTACATTATTTTTATTTTATTATTATTTTATATATTTATTATTATTAATATTTACTATAATTTTTATTATTACTGCATATCGTCTATTATAAATACATTACTAAATCATTTTTTTAAATAGCAATTTTATGTTAAAGAAGAAAAAACAGGTGGAGAAAAAACGGAATAAATAGGTTATTAATGTGAAACGGGCCCAATAAACAGAACAATGGTCGGAGAAATAAAACAAAATAGAATAGTAAACTGAACGCACTGTGTGATGTTACTATTATAATTTTCAGGCAAGCCAGGGGTGAGAAAAAAAACAACCTTGCCAAAGAAATGACTACAGCACCAAAATAAATTCTTTACGAAAAAAAAACTAAAGAGGACGCACGTATTTGAAATCAAACACAGCTCAATACAAACGGGACCAAAGTCATGGAATTGAGTAATTACACCTGAAACGCACGTCACATGAGCGTGTGTAAACGGTAAATACGAGAAAGAAAGAAAATATTTTCAAGTTTTAAACATTTTTAGTTTTACTTGAAGTTACTTTAATTCTTTTGATGTGCCCGAGTCTGTACTGTGAAAAACAGAAGAGTAAACGGAGAAAGTCACGGAGACTGGGGGAGTTCACGAGGCGTGAGGAATCCTTTGTGAGGAATCCGGCTTGAGGAGTCGGTCCGTTTTGCTTCGTTTGTTTTGCTCCCACTCGACATTAGCATTTCGAGGGGGTTTGAAGGAAACTTGTTACAGTGAATATATTGGGACTCAGGCAAATGCGGATCTGAGTATAATCCTTCACTATCCATGAAATTTAAACTTGACTATTGAGTGTGTGCATTTATGGTTTAGAAGTGTAAGGGACATTTTGGAGGAGGGGATTGCTGAAGTTTCCGGGAACGTAAACTGCTATGGACATTCGTCCAGTCCCATGAAGTGAATGTTTATCTCGGGAGGTGGTGGTCATTTCTTCCCTGCCAGATGGTGAGACCCGGTGCCAACCACATGGTCGGCTTGAGGGAGATTTTTGTCTTTCCCTAGTGGGGACAAATTCCAAGTTTCTGTCTTGTCTCCAGAAGAGTGTATTGTAGTGATGTAAACGTGTTTATGTAAGAGGTTAGGGCAGAACGAGGAGGAGAAAGTGAAGATCGCCGCGGCCCGTGGCGCGTTTGTTCGGGTACTGCTCCGGTATCCCCTGGTGCTGATCTGAGAAACTACATAAAACTGTCGAACATATCAGGGGGACGCTTGAATACTCTAAGGCTGAATTCGACCTAGTTCTATAGCTAATATCCAAAATCCGCCACCGTCGGAACCCTAACCCAAGACCTGCCGGTCTGTTACTGCAGAAACGGTGGCAACTCTGAACTAAGCCGTCCGGTGGAAAGGGGGACTGAGTAATTGTTTACCGTGGGTGAAAGATTCTTTGGAGTCTGGGTTTGTTGCGCGAAGAATGATAGTCGCTTTAACGGCGATTAGAGGTCAGAGAGGAGCCGGGAGGAGAGAATAGAAAGTTTGAGAGACTCACTGTTCTGGCGGCACTTGTTGGTGCAGTCCATCTCGCAGCGAGAGGAGAAGCCGCGGTAGCGCCGGGTGACCTTGTTGAAGGCGCACACGGGGTCGTAGATGGCAGGGCAGGCGCACTGCGGGCACACCTTCTGAGCGCTCGCCTGCTCCAACGCCACCAGCACCGCCAGCACACCTGCAACACCAGCGCACCACCTGTCACGCTCTGGGACTAACTTAACTTGATACTGCCACGCATCCAGTATTAAAAGTTGGATGCAAAGATATGCTTCGCACAGATGAAGCATTTATGCGACGATTACTTCCAAACATGAAATTCTTCACTCAGTACTACTTGATATGATGATAGTGTTCTCGAATTTCCGGAAGAAGTATTAAATGCCACCTCTCTCCTTTGAAATTCGCGGCTTTTAAAAACTATCCACCAAATTCGTCTACCCTGGCGTCACAACGAAATCACAAAACTAATAATATTATATAAGAGATTCCCTAATCCAACGCTTCGTAGAGACTTCTTGGCTCGCCACAAGGTTTCCGGTGTGGCACAGTTGACATCCGCTCCAGTATGAGCCACAGAATGCACCAACCGACGTAATCACGTCATATCCCTTAGAGCAACATTCAACGCGAGTCTTCTTATTGCAATGACTGATATTTGCTGGATTGTTTAATCTCCCTATTCTATAGCCTTCCCTCGAAAGTGTTCGAAAAGTTTATTCTTGAAGGAAATCAGGAATTATTATCTTTTTAAAGACATGTACCCTGCCAAATTTTGTTTTCGACGTAGAAACATTCTGAGTTTAAAGATAAAAGTTGCAAAATTGACGTGGTAAAACATTTTACGGAACACTAGAATACATAATGTAGTAAATTGATTCCATATCCCGTAGGAAGTTCTGTAAAGCAACACAAATAGCACATTGTGTAGGTGGCGTGATCTAGAGCAACAGAAAGTGGCGCATCATGGGCTCCAAAACCCGAAAATCTTTCGTAAGATACAATCGTTTTAATTAACTGAGGACTCCTGGTACAAGTAGTGAACCAAACCCATTGAATAGAACGGTGAAAATGACGTAGAAACGTCATATTTCCCAGGAGACAATATGTTTATTGTCTGAAGCATACTCGTACACCCGCACCTCTCGCAGAGGCTCACACTCACCACAGACAATGACGACGGAGGTCCTCATGGCAAGAAGTCGGGAATCACGCGCGGCACGTGCTACGATGCGGACGGCGAAGGCTGAGTGTGCTGGAGACCGCGAGGCCGCGCGCTTATAAGAGCCAGCGATGGCAGCGGGTGGGTGGGGAGGGGGGTGTAGGGAGGGGAGACGCGGGCGCGTTGGAAGGTGACGCATGCAGCCACTCGCTGACGAACGCGAAGCGGCGGCAGACCCGCAGGCGGGGGCGGATCCGTCGGCTTACCCCGAACGGCACAAAGTAATGGAGAATAGAAACATTTTCGCTTTACAGATACTAGTCGCGCGTTTCATTTATTTGGTTTATTTTAAAATGTTTTAAAATTTGTTAATTTTTAAATTTTGTATTTATTTATTTTGAAGATTGTAGATCTACTTAGCATGACTCGTTCACAGAATACTATGTAACATTTCCTTAATTTCGTTGTTCCTGGCAGGGGCGGATCCAGCCGAATTTTTTGGGTAGAGATTTGAGTAGTTTCTCAGTAGATTTGTGTTAAATAATAAACATTTGTTATTGTAGTGTGTATTATTGATGTACTGTAGGCAAAATATTATCCAATATTATTATTTAAAAATTGTATAATTCGAACACAAATATATAAATCAATTTTGCCAAATAAATTAAGGTTAACGAAAACTTCAGGCCTCTTTTGGGGGTCATGATCCCCAAATAATGATTTTATGCTCTAGTGAATAAAAATGCTTTTCCCCACTAATTCATGCCTTCCAGACATCAATCGCATAAAAACAATGAATCATATATTCCATTTCAGCAGCAGCGTACACATTTTATGTATTGAGTTTACTCTTACTTTTGCTTACAAGGCGCTGAGGACTAAAATTATGTACGGTATTCGAGACTAAATACATTTCATCTTATGCAGCATTGTAAATAATTTATTTCATTGTTCATAGAAGATATAAAATATTTTATGCTCTAGTCAATTAGAAAGTAATCTGCAACTAAAAGTTTATTTTCAATTCTAATACTCGTAAAATGTACATAGGTAAATTTCAAAGGGTTAATTTGTATTCGTCCCTTTGACAACTATATCATTGAAGCAATGCTCTTTTGTGTTGTTGAGTGTTACTCATATGTACACGAGACACACTGAATAAGTAATATTTATACTTCCTTTACTATTTCTCGCTTTCCTTATATATTGGTAACAAATACAATTTTCATTCACTTCATTGATTGATGATGTACAGCACTCAATCCCGAAAGCATTTTTTCCGTTGCAGCATTAAATTACTATCATTTAATCGTGGAATCTGCCCCATCAGCTTGACGCCTTCGGCACGAAACTTTTACACTAAGTACGTTTTCACTTGCTGTTTTTTCAAATCGTACAATACACTTCTTTAACACCAATATTTTACTTTCCCGATAAAGACAAACCTTAAAACATGGAATTTCAGTTTTATTTTTATAAGTATTTACACTATTTTTACATTTATGCAAATTAGAATATTACAATATATTATTTATAATTATATCATCAACAAAAAAAGTCGCTGAATCGTTCCGGAATATAGAGTCTTAGCAGTAGGCTGGAGAAACTTTTTCCAAGAAAGAGCGCGAAAGATGAAGTTCGTTTATTTCAAAGTAAGTTTGACTAAAACGTCTGCGTTTGCGTCTACGTACTGTGAAGGTATACTACATCAATGATGAGAAAAAAGCAGATGTAGTTTATCCCAGTGACTCCAAACCTAATTTTATAAGCCCTCCTATTGTCATCACGTCCGCGCGCAATCTGGGGGCTGCTTGATAGGATGTTTTTGGAACTTTCTGTGCTAAATCAATGTTATGTTGGTAAATTACACTTGGACGGGTTTTGACAGAAGATTCGAACCGACGCAAATCATGAACACACTCTGGCCAGGATACAGTACTTTAGCGATCTCGGATAAATCGACATTTAGCATTCAAGAATGCGATAACTTGATGTGTTATTTAGGATGTCTATTGAAGAAATAAAATTCGCAACAAAAGTATTTGAGATTAAAAAAATCAACAAAGTTGACTGTTCCATTTTTGGGAAAATGAGAATACATAGGTTAATTTGAAATTAAATGGAGGTTTTTACGGATATTCACAAAGTGTTTCAAACCCTGAGGTATACTGTTGATTGATGAAATACGATTGCGATTTATTTCATGGAATTTTGTAATTCCAAAGTTTGTGCAATAGGTGATTTCATTTGAGTTTTTCAAAGTGACTACAGAATGTTCTCGCATCTCGTAATCTTGTGAAGGAAAAGGGACGGATTGCTTGGGTGATAAAATTCAAGAGTAGTGTGTTTCCTCACTGACATACGTGTATGGTTAGCTTCAATTTTAGGACGACCCAAAGTGTAGCGCTCACACCGCTTTCCACTTGTGGATACCTGGGTTCAAAACTCTGTCGTCGAGTAGTATCTGTGGGGGACAAAGCGAGATCCCGTTTACTAACAGAAACTTAACGTTCCCTACCTCCTAATTCACAGAATTGCTCCGTCATTCAGCTTTGATTACTAATCTCAGATATGATCGAAAAGGCTAGGAAACTACTACCGGAATAAATAATCAAAAGGAATGCAATGCTCCAAAGGTTTTTATTTAGATTCTGCTTATTCGAGACATACACTACTATATTCACGCCTATCAATATTAAGCATGAAGTAATCATGAAATAGCTTTTCATTTTTATAAAGAAAGACTTAAAAGAATCGGTTACATCAATATTGCCTCATGCTTACTCTGATTTGTGTGAATGCAGTAAACATATGCAGATTTAAGAAAATAACCGCTTCTGCATCAGCATCGCACATACCGAAATAGTGTTATCTCGCGGAAACTGACGAGCGCTGAATCGAAAGAATCGGGAAACGAACTATCGCCGCTTAGCCTCGCTGGTTAAAAAACTGGCTTAACGTCACAAAATCGGGAGATGTGTACTCTATTCCCACGGGCTGCGGCTGGGTTTACACTCCTCTTGCGGTAAAGCACTAATCAATGTTACGAATCTTCTCCGACCCACCGGAATTCTTCTCGACGTCATGAACATATAATTTAAACGAAACTCTGCATGTCTCGGCATCGCCTATCAACATCCTGCCAAACACGGGACGCCACAAGGCGGTACGATCTCATTCGGTCCCCCGATCTATTTGCGAAGCAGATCCAGGAAAAGCGTCTGGATCTTTATCACGCGGAGGATAAGAGACGCGGGGAGGCGGGGTTCGCGGTGACGTCACGGGAACTTCTCACTGCGGCGCTACGTGCAGCAATGAGCGCCGCGTCCGGAAGCCTTCCTTCCGGTGACGTCACAACGACGTCGCGTGCAGCCCAAGATGCGCTCGAAGGATCGCGCTCAAGGTTGCAGGAAAAATGTGTTGCCTACGTAGATCTCGTTCAAAGGAATGTACTCGAATCAGATTCAGCGGATTGTGCCATTTTAATGTTCCGATCTGCAGTTTTCCTGAGCTGGGAGGAACTTGGTTGGCGGAGATAGAGTTGGACATGTGTGTAATAGAAGATGCGAACACTGATATGTCAAATTGACTTAACCATTTCCACGGGTGGATCTACACATTCTATTTGGGATTAGGAATTGTGTACTTTTGATTCAATGTTGCAAACATAAAATATTGTTTCTCTTAAAAATATCACATATACATCAATTCTACTAAATGAACCTATACAAGATGTAATTACAAAGTATTTCTCGAGCTCATGACGATTATATATATAAAGGTGTATTACATCAACCACTTTCGTTTTCACATACAGCAATCGCGAAAGATTTCGTTCAATCCTCGTCCTCTTCTGTACCTCTACGGTTACAAATAACTCGTATACGGCGCGCTCGAGGCCCTTGAACCGACTTAAGGGCTAGGGCGTAAGAAGTATGTTATTTACACCGTTATCTACAAATCGAAACCTTTTGGACGTATTCGTGATTTAGCTATTCTGGAAATACCCAATCCAG